GTTTGTCGGTTAGAGAAGCTCCCACCGTAGAAAGAGCATGGTTCCTCGAGGGTTCTGCTTAGTATGGATGGGGGTATGGGACTTCATTCATGCATTGCACAAGTAGACTTTGAGAGGAAGCATGGTATATTTTTAAGATATTATAAATATGATTTTGATGTCATGTTTTAATAGTTTTACAAGCTTTATATATTGCATGTGTCTTATTGCTTTATATATTGAGTTCAGTTATTCATGAGTCGAACAGAGCCAAGGTAAGTGTTCTTTTGTACTCCTTTTAAGCTTAAGTAGTGGTTTAGCTTTCCAGCTTGCATACTCGTACATTCAATGTACTGATGCCAATTGGCCTGCATCTTATGATGATGCAGACACAGGTACCCAGGGCCAGCATCCGGTACGCCGTTGATCCAGCTGAGTACGCCAGAGTCAGTGGTGAGCCTCTTTGCATTCCGGAGGACTCGGCTATTTTATTCTCCTAGTTTTGTTTTATTAGGATGTTGTGGGGTCTGTCCCAACATCCATCTCAGTATTTTAGAGGCTTCATAGACAGTCAGTCAGTTAGTTTTGAGTCTCTCATCTATGTATATATATGAATATTCTATGTTTGAGACTCGAGTTACCTTTTGGGAGATTTTATCAGTTGGGTTGTTTTGAAACCTTTCATTGCATTGAGCTATTCTGTTGAGTTGGGTTTCCGCTGAGTTAAGAAAGCCAGGCCAAGGGTTCGCTTGGGGGCCAGCAATGGTCTTCGAGTGCCAGCCATGTCCAGGGTGTAGGCTCGGGGCGTGACAATGAGTGTGGGTAATAAGAAATAAAGGTAGGTTTGAGCGCAAAGGTTGATGTCATGGGTATTTGGGGACCGAAAGGTGAATGGAGGGTAATTTTGTACCATTTCAAATAGTTGAGAGCATTTTAGGCCCTTCTTCGTAAATACTATATCATTTTAATTACATGAATGTGTATTGACCTTTTCACTTAATTCAATTAATTCCTAATTAAATATCTAATTTAATAATAGTATTTAAATTATATAAAGGGGTGATTAAGCAAGAAATCATTAAGTTATAAAGTTGAATTACATACTCATAAAAAATTAACTTTTAAACCCCCTAAGACTAACTTATTTCTTAAACAATTACAAATAAAAATGCAAATTAGAAAAGTTCGTCTGCAAATCTTGAGTTTTGTACGTGATTGAACCTATAATATTTTGATATAAATATATGAATATGTATCTTACTCTAATAAATATTATTCCATAGAGACATAAATCTTCAATATAAATATTTAAAAAATTAAATGATATTTTATGGTGTAATAAATAAATAATATTGTAATCAAGTCTTTTCATCTACTCTTATTGGAATTCTTGAAGACAAACTTATAAAAATAAAAACTGAAGTACTTTTTCGAGTAATACATTATAATAATATGGCTAAGTCTTTTTATCTATTCTTATTAAAATGCCACTTAATGTATCAGATATTTTAGAAAATTGTTCTACATTTTGTTCTTCCAATTTAATTGAATTGCAACAATTTATTTGTATTAATTCATATCAAGTACTGCCAACTTGCAAAGAATGTAGCATGATTTTTAGGATTACAATTTAGAAGGAAGGAAAATTTGACAAAAACCTTCCTTTGGTTGGTATAGCACGATTTTTAAAAAAAAAATATTTTTGTTGTGCATAATTGATTTTGTCATTCCTTTTGACACCACATTAGTTCGTTAGGTGACTTTTTCGTATTTCTCATCTTTTTAAATATTTTGATGTAGTGTTGTTGCTTCATTTGTAATTCTATTTACTTTATATGAGCATGGGTTTATCTTGTAACGAAAATATATTTTGAAGTTATTATAATTTTTGTTGCCTCTCGTTATGCATATTCTTTTATCACTATACTCTTATTTTTTTTCCTTTTTCTTAGGTATCTAAATGGATCAAAATTTTAATTATGTTTTTCGGTGTGAATACTCTAGTAGGCCAAATTGATCTCAAATTAGCATGTTCAAGAAGTAAAAGCTAAATAATAGTAAGCTGCAAAATTCCTTCATGCTTTCTCGATTCTTTTGTATATTGCTTTTTTTTTCTCTCTAAAGTTTTAAGGTTCTTGTAATCTAGTAAAAGGAAGTTTCTTGTAATCAAGTTCCCAACATAGTTTTTGGTGAATCTAATGTGAAAAGACAACAATAATTATTTACTTAAAGAATAAGCTCATAAATATACTGGCTATCTTCTTATGGATCAATATTAAATTTAAGCAAAGAAATATGTATATATTACTATTAACACAAATTTAGATAAATTTTATTATTTTACCATATAGTATATGGAACATTGTTGCTATTATATGAAGTTTGTAACTACATAAATCACCCATAGAAGAAAGTTCCTTGAGTTAGAGCTTGCAAGAGTGTGTGTGTGTATATATATATATATATATATATATATATATTTATTTTTNNNATATATATATATATATATATATATTGATGTTATTTATATCTCTTCTCTTGTTTTTGGCTTTTATCGTTATTCTGTTTGACTTTTCTCCGTTTCATTTATGTACTATACATTAATTCCACATTAGTTTTTCTTTATTATATATCAATAAAATCCGAAAAGTGATACATCCACTCTCTTCCTTAACCATTTAGAAAATAAATGTTCATAATTTCCAAGAAATTAAATTATATGCTTGCACTTTGTATAAATTATATGCTTATAGTTTGTATTTGGAAGAGAGGATTTTGTATAGTTTGTTTGGATGGAAAGTGCAGTAGCATATAATATCATGTTGCTCTTTTTCTTTCTTTCTTCTTCTATATTTTTCTTTGAGGTATCAACTATATTTTTTTTAATTGTTTATATGATACAATTTTTGGACTTGATCATTTCTAATTATTACGTAATAATAATAAAAATAATAGAAATGTTTATATATAAATCACACAAAGAAGATTGTGTATGTATATATATATATATATATATATTCATGTGGATTGTTAGTTGACGTCTTTTTTTGAATTAAAATACAGAGTGCATACTATATACAATCAACTATTCAAATGATGTGTGTGTTTAATACATATATGGTGATAGTTTATGTAGAAAGAAAAAAAACAATTGATAATGGAAGTGTGACTTTGACCATTACTTTATTTTTTTGAAAATAGATGTCCACTTTTACCGTCAATCAGTTATTAATAAATTGGACCTTCACCAACAAGATGAAACAAAAGTCCAGGTAATCAACCAATTGAACTATTAAGATTTATTCTCTCTAGTGCAAATTAAGTGAATTGTCAGAAGTTTTTTTATAGTTCAAAATAAGTGAAATTTTCAAAGTTCAAGATAATTGTTAGTAGGATTTTTGTTTCCATATTTATCCTTTCTTTTAATGATGTTAGTAATTACTTTACATTTGTTAAGAGAATAGTTTAGGAATAATTAAAAAAAATAAGTCTTTAATGTTGTCCTTAAATAGTTTTTTTAAGAGGAGAGTTATATCCTAACATTTCACTTAATATATAGACTAGAGGAAGTACCATTCATTTCCCCAATACATTTGTCAAAATATTGAATTAATTATATTCAAAGAATGATACAATTTAATTACTCTTTTAATTATTGCTCGTTAAGGAATGTGACAGGTGTGTACTAACTCACACATGAAGGGAGTATAAAAGTTTTTGAATACTAAAAAAAAACCTTATTACAGCCTTCGCATTTCACAAGATTTTAGGGTTTTGATTTTTCCTTTCCCTTGCTTTTGAATTTTGAATTTTTCGTGTTCGTCTAGGATTAGCAGGAGAACGAGTTTAGGCAAGTCCTTAATCTCTCAGGCATGTTCTCAAATTCAATAAGAGCTTTCTATTAATTGATAGACTTGTCCTCAATATATATGATAATGATTTATACTTGAAAAAATAATGTTTTTTTCTTGAAGTAGGTAAATATACTCATTTGTGTTAGAAGCCTTTTATCATCTTTTTTAATCCATGTTAATTTTATGTTCTCATTGATTGTATCAATTGTATTAGAGTCATCCATCACCCATTGTGCCATGGAGGCGCCTGACCACCTAACTCGAAAAGGACTACCTGGGAAAAAGCTACCTACTTGTGGTAGAGTGAAAGCTAGCCGTCGAGGCTCTCCCACCTTAATTTCTAGCTTTTAGGTTGTGGTTGAGTGGTTTTAGAGTTCCAAAATTTATTTCTATATATATGTGGTCTTGGACAATCGATAACTTTTGAGTCGAGTTAGGCCCAACTATTCATTTTCTTTGTAGAATAAATGTAACATGTAACTGGAATATATCAAGTGCCGGTTGCTATTTATAAACAGTTAATGTGGAGTTGGCAGATGTAATTATAGCATTGGCTGATAGAGATTCATAAAATAAATTTTGAGATAAATACTAGAATGTACACCTAAGATTTGAATATATGATCTAAAATAGATTTTGAACCCCATTGCATCTTCCCTTATGCCAAGGGGATTCAACAATATACACAGAACTAGAAAGATTAGGTTTGTCATAATTGCACAGTATAATTTTTCAGTGAAGGGGATCCAATTAACTACACTGCAAGTAACTAGTTTCGCCACTAAATAAAAGAGCTAACTCTAGCTACCTATTCTAAATGGAATTGTCTCCTATAAATACTAAGTTCAATTAAATATATAGTTGAGCTGATTGTTTTCTTCTAAAATTAGGGGTGAAGTAAATTAAAAAACATAGCATTAATGGGGGAAACCGATAAAGTGTTGTACAAATTCAAATGTTGATGTCAAGCATGCTGCATTATATACACAAGCATTTTGCTAGTCAGGTTGCCAATACTTGTAGTTCTTACATTTATCTTCATCTGAAGTATGGTTTTTACAGCCAAAAACGGTTTGCTTTCTGATGTGGACTTCTGACATTTCTTTTTTATTTTTCTATGGTTTTAGAGTTTCATTGATATCAATAGAGTTAGAAATTTCCAGCTAAATGTCAGCCAAGGAGGAGGTTGGGGAGAGTCTTGCACTTGTTGTATATAATGAGAGTGCATCTAGAATCAATGAAACTGGGCTTCAACTTTATCAAGTTTCTGAGTATGACTCTGGTGAAGGTTTACCATATGCTCCTGTGGATTGGCCAAAAGTTGGTGATAAGTGGGGCTGGAGGACAGGGAAAAGAGCTACAAATTCAGGAACCTTCAAAGATAGATATTTGTATCTTCCAGAGCGTTTTCACGCACCGAAAGACAGAAAGAAAAATGCTTTTCGAAGTAAGACTTCAATTAAAAAGTATCTCCAATCTGAGTATCCTGGTATGGATATTGACCACTTCTTCGCCTCATTCAGTTGGATGATTCCTTCAAAGCAGTCTTCAAGCTCAAAAGGTTAGCTTCCAGAAGGCTCTTTGGTATATAGCATGTAGAGATTTATTCAGTTGTTTGCATCAATTAAAAGAAACAACACTTACCACATGGCTCACTGTGTATACTAAATTTTCAAATAAATTTAATGCACTTGGAACAACAGTTGTGTGTAAGGACAGATTCTAAATCACATGTCTCACCCTTTTGCCTTTACATATGTATCCTTGTCCATGACTTTGTTCCATCTCTAAATGTGAAAATTTGTATAATGCTGCTAGGAGTAAACTTTGTTATGTTCTCATATTTAATAGGAGTATTTAATATTTCTAATACTCATTGAAAAGTATTTTGAATATCCATTATTTCCATTAATTATTCAAGAGAACAATGGATGTAGCACATTATCTATCAACTCTACCTACATGTAGTATAGATATATGTTGGTTAAGCTTTGAGGTTGCTCATTTTACTTTAGAAATTATTAGGCAAGTCATTAACATCCTTTTTTGGTCGAATTGTGTATTATAGGAATCAAAATATATAAAAGTGTAAACACAAATGTGTTGTTTGTACTGGAAATATTTGGAATGGTTGTTGTATTTTGGAGAATGTTTACCTGTTTTTATAATGTTTAATTATTCACAACAGAAAAATACCCAATGAAATCCAACAAAATAGGATTTGAAGAGGGTAAAGTGTACGTTGACCTTAATCCTACCTATATAGAGAGACTATCTATGATAGACCCTTATCTCAAGAGAAAAAACAGTCAAAAGTAGTATAGAAAAAGAAATAACATAAATGAAAAAGCTATAGCAAGATACTATAGACAATCTTACAAATCAACCTGAATAAAAGTCAAAACAAGGTAAAACAATAATTGAACTACAAAAAGAAATGAATAATAACCAAACTCAAAGGTGGAAGAAGAGAAATAGTGGGAATTTTGAAGATATATCCAATTTCATTCACAAGGTTAAATGGAATTGCATTGTATCTCTATTGATGCGGAAATATCGTGGATTAACTAGCACACAATCACAAACAAAGAAAAAATAGAGAAGAAGAATAACATAAGGATTTAATGAAGTTCGGTTAGGCCTACTCATCCCAACAAAAGCAAAGAGAGTTTTCCACTATGAAAGAAAAGAAGAAGCTTACAATACTTTTATATCATAGTGATGAGATAAGAAAATAAATAGTGATGAGATAAGAAAATAGTGATGGGATAAATTTTTTGTATCATAGTTTGGTTGTCATGTTTGGAATAACTTATTCCACCATTTATATTATAGTGATGGGATAAGTTATCTCATATACATGGTGGGATAAGTTATCACAGGATAGCTAACCCCAGGATAACTAATCCTGGGATTACTTCTGCCCAACCAAACGACCCCTTATAAGCCCTTATGATTACATTGTGTATCATGTCATAAAATCTCCAACTATATCCCCTATATATAGATCCCAAGTGGCCCCAAACCTATAAGGAAAATGTTTTCCCAATCCTATACGAACAATATTTTCCTTTTCCAAATCTATTAGGACAAATGGTCTCCTAATTAAACAAATAGGAATTATAGTTTCCTAAAATAAACAAGAGAATAATTCAAGACATAATTAACAAATCTTCCCTTTGGCTTGAATTCCTTTCATCAATTGAAATAACACATATTTGCCTTGCTCCCAGCCCTCCAAAGGGCTTACTGAGTACAACTCACACCAATCAAGTCTAGGCAATGCCTAAGATTATTGGTCCGGATTGTCTTGGTCATCATATCTCATGTATTATTATGTCTAGACACTTTCTTTACAGCAACAACCCCTTTAGATACAACATCTCAGATAGTATGATGTTTGACTATTTTGGGTCCCCTTGGGTATGAACCAAGCTTCTATGTTTGATTCTTTTAAAGAGACTCAATCTTTTCACCCATAGCACCAACCCATCGATCTACTTTTGAACTAGAAATAGCTTCTTTATAGATATTATGCCCATGCACGTCAATGGTCTCTGCAACTGATAAAGCAAATTCTTTAAAATTTGCATATCTAAAAAGGTTTTTAGTAACCGCGTTTGCAAATCATTTTCTATGGTTGATCACTCTTTTTTCCCCTACCTATTGCATTGCTATATGATTGTTATTGTATAGGTGCATCATCATTATCATCTCGATTAATGGGCTGAGCTAGTAGAGATTCAACTTCTAGCTCAATGCGGTCACTAAGACTTTGATTTGTTTCTGTCACATCCCTGCTAATAATTAACCCCGGAGTCTTTTCTTCTGTGCACTACAATCTATAACCTTACACTGCAGTTGCATACCCTAGAAATATGCACTTCTTTGAACTCGGTTCAAGTTTTCCATCCCTTACATGAGCATAAACAGGACACCCAAATATTCTTAACTTTGAATAATCAGCAGGCCAACCGGACCAAACTTCAAAGGGATTTTTAAATGCAAAAGTTGTAGAGGGAGATCTATTGACCAAATAACAAGTTGTATTGATTACTTCAGCCCAAAAATCCTTGATAACACATGAAATCATATTTCATGCTCTATCACAAAGTGTTCTGTTCATATGTTCTTCAACACCATTTTGTTGTGGTTTTCCAACACAAGTGCGGTGTCTCACTATGCCTTCTCTGTTGCAGAAGTTATTGAACTCTAAGTTGCAAAATTTCAACCTATTGTCAGTTCGAAGATGTTTAACTGTTCTTTCGATTTGCCTCTCAACCATCGTCTTCCATTTAACAATTGTTTTCAAGAAATACACCCATACCATTTTTGAGTAATCGTCAATCAAAGTCATAAAGTACCTTGCACCACTTTTGGAGGGAATTATGTTTGGACCCCACAAGTCCGAATGTATATAATCTAACTAATCTTTGGTCTTGTGTAAAGCCTTCTTGCTGAACTTCACCCTTATTTGCTTACCAAACACACAATGCTCACAAAAATTTAAAGCTCTATTTATGTAATCATCCAACAAATTCCGCTTGTTCAACAAAGACAATCCATTGTCACTCATATGTCAAAGTCGCAAGTGCCACAATTGAGATTGATTCAGATCACTCTTCCCAGAAGCTACAATTGCTTCCCTTTCAACTTCACTGGCTTGTATATAACACAGTCCAGAATGAAGCTTACCCTTCATGAGTACCATGGAGCCTTTACATACTTTAAGTGCTCCATTCTCTGAGTGAAACTTATACCCTTGATAATCCAATGTCGAAAGAGAAATGAAATTCCTCTTCATTAAAGGAAAATGTCAAAACTCAATATTTCTGATAATGTCATCGAACATTCTCAAGTTGATGGTACCAATCCCCTCTTCCTCTAATGAATTATCATCACCTAGGTGTCAGCACCACTCATCCATAGTAAATTGCAAACTAATTCTTGTATGGGCACATGTGAAAAGTTGCACCAGAATTAAGAACCCAAAAATTTTGCCTATGATCAGAACTCACAGCAAAAACTTCCCCTAAAAACTCAATGCCATCATAATTATTACCATTGTCAACAATATTTGTTGAGTAGTCAAATATTTGTTGAGTAATCAACTTTGGCTTCCCCTTTTTCTCCTTTAGTCTAGGAAAATCTCTTTTTTAATGACCCTGCTCCCTGCACTCATAGTAGTTCTGCTTCCTGTTTCTAGACTTCGATCTGGCATTAAACCTTTTTCTATTAAAATTTGTATGTTTTGTTCTTCACCCTCTGTTCTGCTATTTGGAAAGTTCTTCTTTAACTCCTTAGATTTTAGTACATTACTAACATCATCAAGTGAGATATTGTCTTTCCCATATAGCAATGTATCAGCAAAAGTATAGGGGTTGAATTATTTTGGTCCTTAATATATACCATTTGATTGAAATAGTCCTTAATGTATGTAAAATGAGTATCGTTTTGATCCTGAGCCTTTAATTTGATTATTCTCGGTTAAAAACTAACGTCCTCTCCCCCCCCCTCCCCCCAAACTCATCTCTCTCTTCTCCCAGTACTAGTATGCTCTGCCTCCCTTTCAATTTCTCTCTTTAACTGAATCCTCTTCCTAAAATATATATTTTTTCGTTAAATTATTTCTTTTCATTTTTTAACTTTCTTCTCTTTTGTGTTCATTAATCCCAAATATTGATAACTTTTACATTCATATTAGTTATTTTTTCACTGTCAACTCTTCATCTTCTTTTATTAGAAAAAAAATCTATGGTACTTAATTATTTGAGCAGTTTGTTCAATTTTCTGTTAATGATATAAATGACTATATTTTAGTTGAATTCAAAAATAATATTTAGAAAGAGTTATTCCTTCCTTTGAGGACGATACACAGAATAAAATTTGAAATATAATGTTACAGAGCAGTAGCATATCCATGCTTATGGATGATATACATACATAAAAAATTCTCTATTATTTTATTACTATTAATTTATAATCTCTTTTGGGTGAATTGAATGATTTTTGGATTGGATTAGTTAGTCGGTTAATTTAACGAAAAATGAAATCAATAGGTGAGCTTTATTTTTTTGCCCCTTCACTGAGTCTTAGGTTGGGAAAGTTATCTGTGAGCTTGAATAGGCATCAATATATATGCGGTGGACTAAGATCCTCTTATTGAGAAAGACTATGCAGTAAAGACCAAGAGAGGAGCGGGCAAGGAGAGAAGAGAGATGAGTTTGGGGAGGAGAATAGTTAATTTTAGGGCTTAGGATCAAAATAAATGATGCCCATTTTAAATACATTAAGGACTATTTCAATAAAATGGTCTATATTAAGGACCAAAATAATTCAACCCATATACATGAAGGACCATTTTGATCATTTTCTCTAAGTATTACACTTTTTGTTCTTTTATGATTTTCTAAAGGTCCCCAACATATCCTTAATGTTGAAGTATACACTGTTAGTTTGTTACCAATTCTAAAAACAATTACCAAACTCAAAGACAAGAAACTACAAGTATAATACAACGACTAATAATATAGAGAAATAAGTGAGGAAACACTTAACTATCTAACTTACCTTCTACCCAAATTTGTGACCTCCATAATCCTATCTAAGGTCATGTCCTCGGTAAGATTAAGTTGCGACAAATCATGTCTAATCACATCTCCCTAATGTTTCATTGGCCTACCCCTACTCTCTTGAACCCATTCATAACCAACCTCTGACACTTCTGCACTAAATCATATGTGCATCTTCTCTGTATGTGTTTGAACCATCACAACCTCGTGTAATGACCCTGAAGGTCATTTTTTAAAACTTTTTTGTCACAACCCAGGGGTACCCCCTAGATGTAACATGCCGTATAGAACCCCGAAGTACTTCATACAAGCCACTTATCATATCATAACATAAAGTAATAGAACAATAAAGAGTAAAACAACATTTACGCCCAAAATAGTTTTATAGAAAAAGTGGAAGTCTAACTGATGTCTCAACATAGTCATCTATTACAATCGAATGAGAGTGGGCCTGGTCTATACATCATGTTCAAAAAGAAATACGAAAGAGAAACTAGAATAAGGAAAGTCTGTCCTTGAACCATGAGGACTCACCAAGCTCGGAAAGAATAAAAGTCAAAGCTTTAGCCACTAAAATAGGACCCCTGCCTGTCGGACCCTACATTTGGGAAAAATGTAGGCAAGAGTATGCGTTAGTACAAAAATGCACTAAGTATGATAGCTATGCATAAAAACATTTAAAGCATGCTATGAAGGACATTTCATTTCATGACATGCAATTGACCAATTACAATTTACCAAGTTTAAACATCTTAATAGAAGTAGTTGGAAAACATCGGTCATATCATCATGGACAATGCAAACTAAAGCATGTTTAAGCCTTTGAGCACATATGAGATACTTCTTTAAGTAACCTTAGTTAATTAATCATCCTGTTGTAGGAAAATTAGCCTTAACAGACATAGAGACCATGTGAGCTAAAACATGATCACCCAGTGTCTCCCACACCGGAAAGGGTTGTTCTACTTGCCTAAGGTAGAACCATGAACTTCTAGCTTAAGTGGATCCACTAGCTAATCATCCTATGAGGGCAAATAGTTTATGGGATAAATGAGATTGTTACTAGAAACCTGGCCTCTACTAACGGGAGAGCTTCCATCTCATGAGACTTCTTATAGAAACCCGACCTCTACTAATGGGAGAGCTTCCATCTCAATGTTAATATCCACTCGGTGCTAAGCATAATTCCCATGGAATAGTATTTTCTTACTTATTCTCATTATCCATGGAAAGACAAGTCATCTTGTCAATTCAAGCTAGTTAATTAGGATAGTTCTTATTCATTGATTCGATTAGGTGAGTATAGCCTTTCAACCTAAGAATCCTTTCTATATGAGAAAACCTTTCACATCATGGCTGCAAGTGTTTTATGAGAATAACCTTTCAACAACACAACAACAACAACAACAACAACAACATTGGCACTACACTCTCAAAGAACCTTTACAATATTTACATCGTTTCCATAAGATCATGCATAAACTCATACTATGCCCTTTCAAGGTTCAAGTATTGTTTTCAATCACCAAATCTAAAATTCAAACATTAGATAGGGATTTTTTCATAATTTCATGTAATTCTATTACTTCATGCTTTAGATCATAAAACTCTTCTTTCATAATCAACAACCCACATCATGAGATCACAATTTGGAAATCATGGGGGTTTGCATGGGTTCAAAGGTGAAACATCATAAAAGCATTCTAAATCATCAATTCATGCATATTTAAATATAATTAAATCATTAAGATCAATAATCAAAAGAACCCATGGTGATTGAAGAAAACCCTAGCTAATTGGGGAATTCTACCATTTGAAATAGAGGAATTTGGGGACTCCATGAAGGAAAGAGATTCATGAATGAAAACTACCATACCTCAAGTCCAATTGCTTATCTTCAATGGAGAATTTGGATCCTTAGCTTGAAACCCTAGGTGAAATCTTCTTCTTCTTCAAGTTCTAGAGGGAGAATATTTGGGAGGAGTTGGTTTTTCTTTTGGGAATTTGGAAGAATGACTTAAATGGGGTGAATTTGGGGGGGTAAAAAGACTTACATAGGGGTTCTAAATATAGGAAAAATGACATAGTATAGGAACTAATTAATTAGGAAAAGACCCAACTGCCCCTGAGTTAACTGTTAGCTTTCACCGACCTACCGACGGACGGACCCAGTCGACGGACCATGGATGGACCTACGGTCCGTCTTAGTGAACCGTGGTTGGTGGTCAGATACTTTTGTCTTGACCTACGAGTCGTGGACCCACTTACGGTTCGTAGGTCCAACCGTGGTCCATGCCTGGACAATTCCTGAGGCACCCATCCATCGACCCACCTACAGTTCATAGCCCACACCAGGGGCCGTGGTTGGCCCTCGTGGATGGCACCTGGGAGTTCTGAAATCTCTTAAGCTTCCCTCTTTCGGATAAGGGGTGCTACACTTTTGGAAAAATTATCATTTTACCCCTCTCGATAGTTGTCCCAAGTCACACTTTTCAGTTTATAAATTTGGTTTTAAATTGGATTGGAAAGTTGAGACTTTTGGAGGTTTTAGATTTTTGGACACCTCAAGTTGTTAAAAGTGGTTTTTGGAAACAATCGGAACTACGAGTCTCGAAAGGGTCTTTAGTCTGTTCCATCAGCTTCATAATGCGAAATTTGGTCTAGAAGTGTAGTTGTTTTCAATTATGGAGTCCTTTTCGTGGATTTGAGCCCTTGAGTTGGAAGTTTAAGTATTATTAGGCCAAGATTTGACTTTGGTCAACATTCGGAGTTTGAGCTCTAGGATTGGAATCCGATGACACCATTGGATTCGGGGGATGATTTTAGTCCTACGTGAGGTCTTGGTTGAGTTTTCAGAGGTTTCGAGGGCAGTTTAGTGTTTTGAGTAAAAGTTAGTTTATTGCGACTTAAACGGATACTGGGTCAGGGAGACTTCGTATCTGTGTTCCAACGTTCCATTGAGTCTGGAACGTCAAGTTTGGTTGGGTAGCATATCTGGTTTGTGTGTGCGAAATTCCGAACAAATCCCGAGGGTTCATTAGGTGATTTTGGTGAGTCTTGGGGTTTGCTGATGTGTTGTATCTGATGCATGTTAAGTATTCTTTGCGATCGCGAGGCTCTTGGTCGCGGTCACATTGGTATGTGGTCTTGTGCTTCACGATCGCATGGAGGATGTTGCAATTGCAATAGCATCTTGAGCATCGTGATCGTGTGGCCGTGTGTCGCGATCGCGATGGTCAATTAATGAGTTGACCAGCATTACTCATCGCAATTGCGAGGTATCGGGTCGCGATTGCAAAGGGTAAAAGTGAATAGATTCTTCTTTCCAAAATCGGGGATTCATTCTCATTTCACCATTTTTGAACTTTGGAAGCTTGGTAAAGGCAATTTTAAAGGGGCTTTTCAAGATTCTTCAATTGGGTAACGATTTTTAACTCCCCATCTTTATTACCCACTGTTTACTTCAAGATTTTATTACCCCATCAGTAGAGGCTATTTAAGTCCTAATTTTGAAGTCAGACTTTTTGAGTTGTCTCAAGAATTTGGATTTTTAGGAAAATGGTGATTTGAGCTTGGTTTCCTATTCATTACAAGTATCTAGTCAGTCCACACAAATTTATATTTTTTTTATTCCCTTTTGGTGTATCTTTTTATTTTGGAAGTGAATTTTGTCCATGATTATACAGTCTGTGCACGTAGTCAGGGATGGAGCTTCGTTGAAAAATTACACCATATAGATAGGGAAAATGATTTTTTTTGCATATCGTAAGTTGTTGAATCTGCTTGGCATAAAAACTTTTTTTTTGAATCCCCATAATTGAAATCCTGGCTCCGCCACTACTGGTAGTTTACTAACCTTATGCCAATTTTTTTTCATTATTTAGACATTGGTTTTGACTCAGATACGAAAGAGAGGACTACATCTTCAGGGACAAAAATGCAGCCTTTACTGTCTGATTCTCCTTTCGGAGCCATTACTTGTAAGGCTGGTAGCCGAATCTGTAGCAGTTTAACAGCAGAAAATCCTTTGACGGGCACCAGATTTTGTGATATCTGTTGCAGTGAGCCTGGTTTTTGTGGAGACTGCTGTTGTATACTTTGCAGTAAGCTTATCACTTTGGACTATGATGGGTACAGTTACATCCGATGTGAAGCTACAGTAGTTGATGGCCACATATGTGGACATGTTTCCCATCTAGAGTGTGCTCTACGAGCTTACATGGCTGGGACAGTCGGAGGAAGCATCAATTTGGATGCAGAGTATCTCTGTCGATATTGTGATACAAGGACGGATTTGGTTCCACATGCTTTGAAGCTTTTAAACATTTGCACATCTGTTGCTTCTTATGCTGACATCGAAAAGATTTTGAATGTTGGCATTTGTATTTTGCGTGGCTCACAAAAAAGTAGTGCAAAAGAGTTGTTGCATCGTATTGAATCAATCAATGCAAAGGTATAGCTAATTGATTAATGGTACTTTGTTTCCTATGATGCTATCTTTTTTCCAGTTTTGAGGTTTACAGTTACTAGAATGACCAATTTGATAATCATATCAGCTTATGAAAGGAGTCAGCATTCAAGATGCATTCAAAAAGGAAAGCTGTGTGGATAGCACTGGTAACTTCTCTGCCTTGTCATAGTCTTGTTTGTGTTGACCTATCACTTTGACTTGAATATCTGTATTTGAGCAAGATATTTATGTGCAAATGTATTTATTTTGTTTTAAGTATTGTCTATTTCATGATACAAATATATACATCTGCGCATTGTAAGTTTTGTCTATTTCAGTGCTTCCTGTTGTCAACAAATACCAAAAACACTTGGTGCAAACTAAACTGCAATATGAAGAGAAAATAAAATTGGAGAGCCTTGGAAAGGGTACGAAAGGAACCTTGGTGTATACGGCCTAACTAGTGAAGGAAATGAATAGCTTCCTTATTAAGAGTTTGGAACCTTGGTGTAATTGGCCTAAAGAGAAAGGAATGGATCACTCAAGGATCTCTTGTAGGGTGCTGTTTTGGTCAATTGCAGCAATAACATCTCCTGGCGTAAAGAGTTCTGCCTAGCCCCTACGGCATAGAATTGAATGTCACATCCATGATCTGTCTCACCACATTAGTATGTAAAACATAAGAGGATGGTGTGGGGTGGGGAGGTGAATCGAAATTCTTTTCAAATGTTAGTCAAGTTATAATTGGTCAACTGTAAATTTCTTCAAATCGACTACCCTAGAGTTTAGACGATCAGATAAAACAACATATTATATAAGGCATAAAGAGATAAAAGACACAGTTGACACAAAGATTTTTATTCTAGTTTGGATCACTGATGTGGTGCTTAATTAGTAGCAGCTGATGGTACCTGGTTGGAATTGAAGAAGCGAGTATCATTAATTGATGGTCCAGGCAAATTGGATTCTAAGGAGAGTAGTACAAGTGGCAGTATATCAGGCGATGGAGTCGGATTGCAAACTGACGTTGGAGTTTCCTCTTTGAGGTCAACTTTTTCCCAGATCAGTTAAGAAAATTTGTTCCTTATGTCTAAAAACATAATTTTAAAAGGAAAAATATTTTCAAAAAAACGAACATCACGACTGATGAATATTTTGGACTTGACTGGGTCAAAGCCGAGGTGTGCATGATGGCTCGGAGAAACACCTAGATACACACAAGGGGTATACTTAGGCTCCAACTTATGTTTGGTATATGCTTTAAGCCATGGATAACAAAGACAACCAAAAATTTATGATTGGCATAGGTGGGTGGTTTACCAAATAATATTTGGTAGGGTGACTCGTTATTTAAGATGGGCGTGGGTAGTCGATTAATGGATAAACAGCTTGATGACAAGCAAAAGACCATAGTTCTGGTGGAAAGGCTGCTTCATGGCGAAGGGTTTTGGCTGTTTCAACAATATGATGATGATGACGTTCAGCTATGGCTACACGTTGTGGCATGTATGGAGGTGAAACTAAATGTTCAATGCCATTCTGCTGAACATAGGGCTGAAGACGTGTATCTTCACCCTCTCCATCCGTATAAAGAGATTGAACTTTTGTTTTGAAAAAAATTTCTACTAAAAGATGAAATTTTTGGAAGAAAGATGCGACCTCACTTTTATTTTTTATAGCCAAGTATACTTGGTGTATTGGTCAACAAAAATACAGTAATATAATTTTTTGTCGACTGATAAAATAGGTGATGGTCCCCATAAATCGCTAAACAGAATCTGAAGAGGACTATTACTTGATAAACTTAGGCGTTCGAATAGAAAACGATGTGCTTTATTAGAAGAGCAAGCATTACAAAATTCAAATTTGTCCTTAGTAGAAACAGGTAAGGAAAACTTATTCAAAACAAAGTATAAAATGTTGAATGAGGATGACCCAAGCGACAATGTCATAGCTGAAAGGGAACTTTTGCGGAAGCAAAATTGATGGATGGTGGTTTGGTTGGTTGATGCAGCCACTCATAGAGTCTATTCTTATTCCGACCTTGTACCAGCGGCTTCTGGGAAGGCAGGTCCTTAACAAGAAAAGTTAAAGGAAAAAACTCAATAGATGTTAGATTGTCTTGACAAAACTTGGCGACAGTAATCATGTTTTTTCTTATTGATGGAGCACAAAGAGTGTTAGAAAGCCTAAAAGGAGAATTAGATGCTTGTATAAGAGATGAACTAGTATGTGTAATAATAAGAATAGTTTTACAGTCACCCATAGATATGCCTTAGCTCATTGCCTGTATACTCCTCAAGATTGTGCGGTTCAGTGGTGACATGATGAGTCGCACCAGAATCCAAAACCCAAGACCAGAGGAAAAGTTGGTCTTAGCTTTAAAATGGTTGTGTGTTTCGGAACAGCATACATCTGTAGTGTGACCTAATTTTTGGCACAATTGGCAGCGGACTGATGATCTCGAATTCGACCTCTAGTTTTGCTGACTGTTGTTGCTGGACTGTTGAGTTACTGGTGGCTCGCATTGTTGATTGTTGAAGTGACGATTGTTCGTATTAGACCGGGGTGGCATGTTCGTCTTCTGTGCGACAACATTGTTCCTATTAGACTGGGGTGGCATGTTCGTCTTCTGTGCGACAACAACTGTGATTATGGAAGATGACTTCTCAAGATCCTGGTGCTTGAGAAAAATCTCATAATTTGTGATCTTGTGAAACAACTCTCCAAAACTCAAGGAAGAATCCCTTGATCTTATGGAAGCAGAGATTTCACGATTACGGGGTCAGTTCGCTTAAAATCTTAACAATAAGTTCATCATTTGTTACTTGTTACTGGTGATCCAGCAACTTTGAGCGCATCAAAGAGAGAGAGAGAGTGAACCCCTTGTAAGTAATCTGTAACGGATTTTACAAGGTTTCTTAAGATTTTGCAATTGGTCTTGCAAGCTAAAAATGTGAGTGTGGCTCTGATTTGTGTAGGCCGTGTTGAGCAGATGGAGCCGTGGCGATAGTTGACGTAATGGTAGGATCAACAGATGTCATCATGGCTTATTGAATCAGTTGGTCCTGAGAGAACCAGACTTGATACCAGAGATTAGGCAGCAGAATGTTATGGTGGGTAACATTCATTGGTGGAACCGGTTTTGATCCGTCAAGATGTCCCATAAGTTGATGGCCATTGAGTAGCATCACAAGTTGGGCTTTCCAAGTTGAGAAATTGAGGTTACCTTGTAGTTTGATAGGTAAATGAGATGCGGGATTAAATTATAACACATGAATGATAGAGGAAGCGACAGAAGCACTGTTTTGGAAGCAGTTACATCACCAGAAGTGACAATAGAAGGGATTGTTTCGCCAGCCATAGATGGGAAAAAAAATCTAAGTCGTGAGAGGTTATGATGGTTCGGATACCATGTAAAATCAGATAGAGGAAAGTAGTCAAAAGATAATCTTATTCATTCAGTACCCAAACTTTAAATACGACAGATAAGAACAACCTACAGCTAAACTTAATCTACTACCTGAACTCCTAAACAATAAGGGAAGTCTACTATTGATACTTTAAAACAGTTTTAGTTACCGTAGCTAATAATTACAATAATTAATGCTTAATACTTCTGTGATGATGATCTGCTTTTATATTGCTTGGCTGCTTCTTTGCCATTGCTTGGACAGAATGGAATTGATATCAATTCGCTGATCTTCAATTAATCTCTGATCTGGAATGTCACTGAGATTGATCTGAGAAGTTGTGCAATCTTCTTCTCTGATTCAGTGTTTTGCTCTTAAGGTAACCCAAGGGATTTTCTCGCTGATATTCAAATTCATGCCTTCTTTTCACAGATTTTGGATGTCTCATTTTTTTTGGCGCAAATCATTTAGGATTAGTGTCATCATTAAAACATATGTTAAAATATAAGTTAATGAAGCTAACAGTACGTGTTATTGGTTCTCTGTCTTTAGCAATACTGCTCAGATTTACTGCAGCCTATTTGTTAAGCTGATATATCCAGATAGATATTGTTGTTACTGCAGTCTATATGTTGTGTCTTTCGTATTTCTGGAATCCTGGTTCAGTACTCAATTTGCTATTATTAACGAATCTTGTGGCAGTTCATTCCCTACTATATTTCTAATGGCATGTAGGATTCTTTTAATCCTTCAATTTTGGACAATTGTTTTCATGAAGTTAATTTCTGGATTTTTCAGCTAACTCTGGTACATCGCAAGATCAAAATCTCAGTCAGAAGCAAAAGACACTGGATGATTCCAATCTGCCTAAAAACTTTGATCTCAAAGTTACCCTATGCTAATGGAAGGTAACAAGTAGTAAGTGAAATGCGCAAGTTATTCCGGACACCATCGTCATAAAAAATGATTTGGTACATTGCTACTCGTACATTTATACATTATCAGCATATGCTCAAACAGAAAGAGCCCAAGTTTGTTCATTATTTGGCTATATACCTTGTTGTTTAAGTAAACATACATATCTATGTTACAATTGGCAAGGAATTGTTGTCTTGCATATGTACTATTTCAAACAACTTCGGACATATGGCGTTCAAAGTTAGTCTTGACAAATTGTAACTTTATACCATGTTTGAAGTTTTATGTGGCTAAAGTTGAGGTATATCGTATACATGATTGAAGTTTAATCATTTTTGTTTGAGAAAGCATATACTCTGATGTACTAGTAGTTTGTTTAATTGATACATAAAATGTGAAACTGTTAACTATTGTACAAGAACAAGTTCAGCGTCTCTCCAAACACCTCTAGATCCATTATCAAATTCTCAACGGCCATGGTCATTCTTGGGCACCGTCACTATAAGCTCTCCGTCCACAAAAACCGTCGTGGCCAGCTCCGGCATAGTCGAAGCAGGCAACCTGTACCTCCATGTATCCACATTCAATTGTTCATCCTCACTGTCTCCATTTCCCTTTCTCATAACGATCTTCGTTACCCCAGGATGAATCTCTACTACCTGTGCCCTCACTTGTCCATCCCCAGCTCCTTCTAGTTTGATTTTCGCCATGAAATGGTAGAATCCTTCCTTCTCTCTTCAACCGCCGCATCTGTGTCAGAACGGAACGGCAATTCCAAAAAGTAGTTAAATACGTGAGGAAGTCTCCAGAGTTTCTTCATTGTGGAATCAGGAATGTGTTGTTGCTGTTCTGAAAAATTAGAATGAATTCCGCCAATGTTAGGATTCAGGGAGAGAGGATGTACTCTCATACCCGAATTGTTGGGGTTGAAACGATAAGAAGAAAGAAGACAAATGTTGAAAAGGTTCAGAATTCCAATAGCGCAATTTGGGATTCTATTAACCCCTGATGGAAAGATTGATAATTGCATTAGTTTTTTTGTCTGCAAAGCTCATTACCCGTTTCATATATCATATCTATCTATATCTATATATCTATCTTCTATCTATATCTATACTACCTTAAAAACATGAACTCCCAAACATGAATGTTGAATTACTATAATACCCCCAATTAAAAATACTCAATTTATTTAATTATGTTATATTAAAAGTAGATACCTTTTCACATTAATGGATTGTGACTTTTGCGATGAGTTGTGACTTTTCCAAAGGGTTGTGACTTTTCCAAAGGGACACGTTGCAATACATGCGAATCATGCTGATACTTCTTCAACATTCTATCAAGTCAAAATATACATTCAGTACATAGTTAATGTTGGGGAAGAAAACAGAAGAAATTATCACAAAACACTTGAGCAAAAGAAGCTATAGGATCAGGTAAATAAAACGTTTGTACTTCTCAAAGTAATCTTTTTCCTGAACCACGAAAATGTGAAGAATCTTTTAAGCATGCGCAGTCTCTGCCTTTAGCAATACTGCTCAGATTTACTGCAGCCTATTTGTTAAGCTGATATATCCAGATAGATATTGTTGTTACTGCAGTCTATATGTTGTGTCTTTCGTATTTCTGGAATCCTGGTTCAGTACTCAATTTGCTATTATTAACGAATCTTGTGGCAATTCATTCCCTACTCTATTTCTAATGGCATGTAGGATTCTTTTAATCCTTCAATTTTGG